CTCTAGTGTCATTGGCTGCCACAACACCACAATTACCCTGCCAGCAGGTGCAATTCATCCTGCCACACTTTCATTATTTCTTTTTTCACCCACTTTAACAACTGCTCTAACTTTGACTTTACACACCCATCCAAGCTTTTTGTCCTTTTCAACTTGTCCTTCTGAATTACAACCAATCAAAAGATTTCCGTCTCTCAGTATCTTAGCATGTTTAATTTCTCCAATATGTGCTTTAAGTGCTTTTGTTAGTTTAAGTGGATCAATCTTYTTGACTCCTTCTCCTTCATCAAATCTTATTATAATGTTCATGTTTTGTCTTTTTGGTGCTTCTTTTCCTTCCTCAATTCCTTCATTATCGGTGTCTTCAGTGCTTTCCTCATTTCCTTTTTTCCTCTTCCTTTCAGCAGGTCGCTGCTTCTTTCCACCCTTTCCCACTCTTTATCTTCATTCTGTCCACTTCTTCCTTCCTCGTCACTACAATCCATACTGTTACAGTCACTTCTTTCTAAATCCAATGTTGTCATATTCCGATTTAAGTCGCATTTATCACCAAAGTTCAGCTCCACCCTTCTTCCTGGTTGTATGCCTCCTTCCGAAAAAATGCCATGCGTGCTTCGGCAACTCAGCACCTCTCGCTACACTTCTCTCCTCTACAGCCCCAAATAACTGGCAGGGAAGTAAGGCTGAGAGCAGGAATATATACTGAGGGGAATAGGTGAGTGGAATGAGCTGATTGCATGAAGGAGGGGGAGCGGTGGATCTGTGATTGGTACCGGCTGTGACAGGAGCAGAGTGGTGATTGAGAACTTGGCATGGGAAATTACTGTGGAAAGMAAAATAACAAAAACAGAGGCAGGACTGGGCAGACAGGGCAAAAATCATAACAGTCTGCCAAAAATTGTGGTTGTCCTTTACAAAAAAAAAGTTTACTATACACAAATGTTCTCGGTCAACAGTTTGAGGAGCTGATTGAGTAAAAACTCCTCATTCTCCTCCTCATGCTCATCTTTGTCATTAGAGTTCACAAAGAGCGGCACACAGAGTATTTAAGGCTCAGGGATTAAAGCAGCAAAAAATACTTTGAAAAGTATTAAGCAGGCATCACCC